CGTTAAAGCAATATATCTTGGTGGTTTTATGAGCACATTAAAGGGATAGTTCTGTCAAAATTCGGAAAATCCTGTCATCAACCTTCAAGTTCACGTTTCACGTTCAAATAAAAATTTCCTGATAGTTTACTCACCCCCATGTCATCCAAGATGTTCTCTTTCTTCATTCTTCAGTCGAAAAGAAATTAAGTTTCAATGCAGCTTCAAAGGGCTCTACACGATCCCAGCTGAGGAATAAGGGTCTTATCTAGCCAAACCATCGGTCATTTTCTTAAAACAATAAACATTTATATATATTTTAACCACAAATACTTGTCTTGCTCTAGCTCTACTTGCGCATGCGTGTCTTCACATATTATGTAATCACATTGGAAAGGCCAAGCACGGTTAGCTCTTCGTCTGTGTACTCTGGTTCAGAAAGGTAGGGTAGAGCAAAAAACTCCATCTCATTTTCTCCTCCAACTTCAAAATTTACCAACATCGTTGTTTTACTTTTTTTTAAAGGGCGTTTGACTTTCTTTGCACGTTCGCTTTGTAAACACTGGGTCGGTGCTTCCGCCTACGTCACGCGTGATCTTTCCAACGTGACTACATAATGCGTGAAGTTGAGCTAGTGCACGACTAGCATTTGTGGTTAATAAGTATATAAATGTTTAATTTTTTTTTTAGAAAATGATTGATCGTTTCGCTAGATAAGACCCTTATTCTCGGCTGGGATCGTGTAGAGCCCTTTGAAGCTGCATTGAAACTGCAGTTTGACCTTCAGCCCGTTGGCCACCATTGAAGTCCACTATATGGAGAAAAATCCTGGAATGTTTTCCTCAAAAACCTTAATTTCTTTGAGACTGAAGACAGAAAGACATGAGCATCTCGGATGACATTTGCGACACCCCTCCTAATCTCCCTCATGCCCGTGCTTTGGCTTACTATGATAACATTATCTGTCAGGTAACGTGTTTCTCGTCTTTCTCTTTCCTCTCCCCCTCCTTCCCCTCTCTGCATGGACCCCGAGCGTAACCTTTTGGTAAGGGAGGGGGTGCACAGCGCACAGAGAGATGGGAACATTTTCTCCGCTGAAAAGGTCTGCTCTCAGATAGGAGTGTGGTTACTGAGGCAACAGTTGTTACCATAGCAACAGGGTAACCGGGAAACGGGGGGGAAAAGCTGGTGTTTTTTGTTGCGAGCGCTGCTTTTGATGCTCTGTTAATGGTGAAGCTTGGCGCTGTGGCTGACTTGAGTCTGTCAGCCTCTTTCCGACTGGCTATCCATCCTCACGGTCGTGTCTCTAGGTGAGCAGATAGTCTAGCCTGTAGACGCACTCTTTGATCCCACACAAGAATCAATATGGAGGCAGACCTTTTCCCCTGACACATACATACACGCAGGCCATTTGTTTTAAACATAAATGCAAGCGACAGGGTTGTGTAATTTCATTTGGACCTTTTGGAATTTGGCTAGAGGTGATTCTAGGTTTCTAGGTCCTATCAGTCATATGTTACTGTTCAGAGGAATATTTCTTGTTTTATGTATGAGAGGTTGCGAGTTTGAGTCTATAAAATGATTTTTTACTTTTTTTATTTAATTCTTAACTATTTTAATTGAATTTTTAATTAAATAATTTTATTTGGTTGAGTTTTTTTTTTTTATAAATTAGAATTGCATTTGTTTGTCATTTATTTATTATTTAAATTATTTTATTATTTAATATTTAAAGTGATATGTTATGGTTCCAAGGAATATTTCTTACGTTACGTATTAATAATTACAGGTATGTTTTGAAAATGACTGAAAATTTTGCATTCATTTTATTTTTTTATTAAACAGTCATTTAAAAATTATTTTTAATTTATAATTTTTTTATGTTGATTTAATTTTTTTAAGTAAAAAAGAATGTAGCAGAAAATAGCAGAAATTTAATTATTATTTTATTTGATTAATTTGTAATTATATTTAGCTTAATTGGTCATTTGATTGAATTTTTAAAAAATAAATTTGAATTTAACTAAAAATATTAAACATTTAATAATCATTTATACCTAAATATTAATATTCATTGCAATGATTAATGCATATTTTTAAATTTTAGTGATTGTCTTATTGGTTGATTTTGTAAAAAAAAAAGAAAAGAACTAGAGACATTAAATTAGGATAGCAGAAATGTAATTATTGTTTTTTAAATTATGATTATTTTATTAAATTTTATTTATTATGCAGTTTCATTTATTAATATATAAGTGATTGAATTTGTAAAATTAGAATTTAATTAACCGTATTAACAAATTAATATTAATTACATTGATTAATCCATAATTGTATTCTAATTTAATTTATTGATTGATTTTGTCAAAAAATAGAACTACAGACATTCTTTTTATTAAATAACTCAATTTAATAATTAAATTACTAAATAATTTTTTTGTTTTAAATTTATACATTTTTAATTGATCAAATTTTTAAAAAAGTAATTAGGTTAAAATGAGTAATTAGGTGTATCAATAATAGTGGCGTAGGTGGTTGCATTCCATTTTGTGAGTTTTTTTTTCACTGGAATAGAGAGTGTTCAGATTAGATGTTTTCTGACTTGAAGGAAAGATAATATATAATGTAACAAACTTTGTAAGATCTAGAAAGGGAAGGAAATCCACTCTTAGAGTGGTCACTGTTTACAGCAATCATGATGAGAGATCACACAATGACAGATTTTTAAGGGTGAGTTAATGGCAGCATCTCTAGGTCCAGCATTGTGCCCTGATTGCAGACCTTGTACTCCGCTGAGAGAAACCACCCTCCTCCCCCCATCACCCCGCTCCCCTTCTCTCTTCCTCTGCACCGCTGCATGTCTGACTCTTCACACGGACCTGCTAGTGGTCCTGTGATCTGCTGCTGCTTGTCCATTGCATCGCATCAATATAACTGTCTGTCGTTTCACTCGTTTATCCTGGTTCAGAAAGATGAGAGGGTGAGTGGGCTCTCTCTGTGCCAGATCTCACCAACCAATGGCGTGTTGAGCAAAAATGCAGGATAAACATCTGAGATGCAATGTCTCACTGCTGCCCATGGGTGGCGTAACACTTGGCTAACATGTCTGCCGCATGGGTAGATGTAGATCTAACACGGGCGTCGTTTTCTCTTCTGTGGGATAACCATAACACAGCTTTCTTCTCGTTTCAATTATTCTGAAAATACAGGATTTCAATGGAAAGCAATGGAAAATACAGTATTTTTTCCAATAGAATAGATATTTTGTTCATAAGATATGCATTTTTGAGCCCCTCGGTCATTTTATGTTTACTACAGGCCAGCCGGTGGATTAACAGTCTCAAAAACTCTCAATATGTATAACATCTACATTAAATATAACCATCTATGCATTTATAGTTGCCGTCAATTCCAGCTTGGATGTATCAGTCAGATCAGAGTAAAACCAAATCATATCTCTACTTTTTAGTAATTTTTTTAAACACTTTTGGGCAAAAGGGACATGAATTCAATGTCTTTAAGACCTGAGCTCAGGACTTTTTTTCCCCTGAGAATTTTGATTAAATTCTATATATAGTAGTGCAACTCAAGGTCACATTTTTAAAGAGTTAGTACACCCACATAAAGTAACATTCTGTCACTTTTTACTCACCATATATCATATTTATTCCATGGAACACAAAAGGAGAAATCTTTGAGAATTTTTATATATCTGTGTATATATAAATTCTTGTGATTAAATAGTCACTCTTTGCTAAAAATGAAAGAAAAAAAAAATTATATATATATATATATATATATATATATGTATGTATGTATATTTTTTTTGTCTTAAAAATAGTCCATCTGTCTTGTGTGCTAAATTTCAGATGTTTTTAAACCATATGATTGACATCTTTGTGATGAACAGACCAAACTTTATAAAATTTTACTAAAAAAGGATATTTGAAACAACATTAGGGTGAGTAAATAATGACAGAATTTTCATTTTTGTATTAACTATCACTTTATGTCTAGCGCACAGTAAATATATTTTTTGTCTCAGAGCCAAAACCTAATGACCTTAAAGGGCCCTAGATGTACGCCCACAATGTTAATGCTTTAGTAAAGCAAAAAAAAAAAAAGAAACTAAAAAAAACTTCTCACCACTGAAGGATCTTATGCAAAGGGCCCTTTTCCTACCCTTCTGTCTGTCCTTCCCTGTCTCTTTCTTTCTGTCTTCTCTATCTCTGTCTCGTTCTGAATGGAAATTATTATTATTTATGAGGTATATAATCCTCTTAATGCCCCCACCCCTCAGAAAACCATGAGCAGATACACCTGGGAGTGTAAGACCAAAGAGGAGCCCGACTGTGAGGTAAGACTTACAACCCCACAACTCTGCCCAAAGGACAGCAGCTGTCCTTTCATTGTGCTGTTCTCCTGTCAATCAAACTGTACTGACCAATCCTGGCCTTTCCTACCATCATCATCATAGTGAAATCAAACTCATTTTGATACAGTATGGTCCATTTAAAGGGATAGTTCAGCCCAAAATGTAAGTTCTGTCATCATTTACTCACACTCATGTCGTTACAAACCTGTATGACTTACTTTCTTCTTTTTGGTGCACCACAAAAGTACCATAAAAGTGGTCCATTTTGCATTATATTGTTAAGTTTCATATTTGAATTTGTTTTGACAAAAATGATGAAGAGAAAGATTTTTAGAGATACAGCTACAGAAGAAAGTTATACGGGTTTGGAACAACATGAGGGTGAGTAATGTCCTTTTAAAGAATATAATAATATGTCAACTAATATAAAAATATGTCCACTAACAAAAAAGGTCACTTACAAATAATAATAGTCCATTAGTGGAATTCACATCTGTGGGTGTATATTGTTTCAACTAGAGTCGTCTGCAGAAATATAATATGCCCGCATGAGATCAAGAATGAGATAAATTCTCCAGATCCTTTCAAACACTCCATGACCTTCATGCAATACAGGACGCCAAAATTGATTGTCTCTTCCGGCCGCTTAGAGACTTGAAGCTCATCATCACAGAGAAAACACTCCTGAAAATGAAATGCATGCCATGAAACAAGGAATCTCTCAAGACAAGAAGGGGAGGGGGGACAAAATGTGGACAGTCAGGCCTCTTTAATACCATCAGCCCAGAGCTACTGCTCCACAGATCGATATCCGCTTGAGTAAAAGAGCCCGGCTCTGGCTAGCAGCCAAAACACCCTCTGTCTCTCTCTCTCTCTCCGTCTCACTCCACACACACAGACCTAAACCCTCAGGGAGGGTCTGTTACTTGACAGATGTTTTGGAATGAAATAGAGCATATATAAACTAGAGCTGAAAGGTCCGATAAGTGAAGTGGTAGCTGAATATTCTTCACTCAAGAGATTTTGACTTGACTTAAAGGAACAGGTCAGTTCAAAAATGTCATTTATTCACCCTCATGTGTTGTTCCAAACCTGTATACTTTCTTTCATCTGTGGAACACAAAAATAAGACATTTTGAAGAATGTTGGTGAGCAAACAGTTTCGGTTCCCATTGACTATGGCCAAAAAATATAACACAAGTCAATGGAAAAAACGAAACTCTTTGGTTGCCAGCATTCTTCAAAACATCTTCTTTTGTGTTCCACGGAAGAAAGAAAGTCAAGCAGGTTTGGAATGACACGAGGGTGATTAAATGATGACAGAATTTCATTTTTGGGTTAACTATCGTTTTAAGACAACACATGGACCATGCTAGTACACCAAAAAAGCTGGATCTGTCCAAACAATCACTGCAGTTTTGACCTCTATCCACGGCACTTTCCAGATTTAAAATGTATACAATGAAAGTTTACTTTATTCACAGAAAATATGTGTGGTGACCCACTGCTCTATTCCCATGTATGTCCCTCTGTCCACTCCAGTTTTATGCTATAGACCTTGTTCCTGTCTTGTCGTCTTAGTGTCCTTCCTCAAAGCTTTGCAGTTTGCTGCAACTGACACTTACTTAGGTTCCATTTCAGTTAAAATACTGCCTTAGAAAGAAGCTAGGTTTTGAAACAGAGCTATATTGTGTATAACATCTAAAATTATGTTAAGTGTATACATTTCAATGCCTGCAAAATAAAATATATGTACTTATATACTATTTACCTTTATAAAATATAAATACTACTGTTTGAAAGTTTAAGGTCAGTAGGATATTTTTAAATGTTTTTTAAAAGAAGTCTCTTATGCTCACCAAGGCTGTACTTATTTGATAAAAAATACAGTAAAAACGGAAATATTGTGAAATATTATTAAAATTTAAATGAATGGTTTTCAATTTTAATGTGTTTTAAATGTAATTTATTCCTGTGATGGTAAAACTGAATTTTCAGCATCATTAGTCTCCAGTCTTCAGTGTCACATGATCCTTCAGAAATCATTCGAATCTGCTGATTTGCTGCTCAAGAAACATTTCTTATCAATGTTTAAAAATGTTGTGCTGCTTAATATTATTGTGGAAATCCTGACACATTTTTTCAGGGGTCTTTAATAGAAAGTTCAAAAGATCAGCACTTATTTGAAATGTAACGTTTTAAATGTCTTTACTGTTATTTTTGATCAATTTAATGTGGCCTTGCTGAATAAAAGTATTAATTGTTTTGTTTTTTTATCCTATTGACCCCAACTTTTTTGAATGGTAGTGTGTGATTTATAGACATTATTATTCAAGAGTTGGAAAAAAAAAGTTTTAAAAGTAACTAGGGATGAGTCACATTATAACACATTGATTGTCTTGATTGGTTAATACCTGTCAGCATTCTCTCCAATGTTTAACTGTCTAATTAAGCTTCAAATGAAACTGCGTTAAAAAGTAACACATTGCAGTAAGAACAACATGGTAGCCGCCACTTCTCATTAATACCATAGCTAAAGTTGACTGGAAGGATGAAAAGAAATAATCATCAGTCCCCTCCATCATGACTCTCTTTATATCAAAAGAAAATCCCTCAAACATCTCAAGAGAAGTGTAATCCACTTCCCCATCCAACCGCAAGTAAAAAGCACATTTTCTAGTTTCATGCCGACAGAAGAAAGGACGCCCCCTATCCGGTAACCATGGAGGTGGCGTATCCCCACGTCCTGCCCGAAGTTACAATCTAAGTCATCGCTGAATGGGTAAATCATCTTTAGTTGTCTCTATCGAGTTCAAAATGTGACACACCTGTGCCTTAACCCAACTACACCAAGGGACCAGGACGCCTTATTAGCTTATCTAGCAAAACAATTTTGCTCAAACAGCTTCCCCTGAAAAAACATGCTAGACCAGCTCTGGATTGAGGGTGTCAGTTATCCCTAAAACCAGTTGTTTTTGTATTTAAGATGATGCAAATCAGTTTTAATTCACTATGAAGCTCAAGTTAGATGATCATAGGATGTGCAAGTCTTGTCTCATTCATTTGTTTCAGTTACTGCTCTAATTTAAGGCCACTGAATGGTTATTCCACAGAGAGAGAGAGAGAGAGAGAGAGTGCTATGATTTATTGCTATGGCAGGTGAGCTCCTCTTGCCAGAGCTCTTGTTTCAGTCCATGGCTTCTCCTGTTCACTGGCGGGACAGGAGTGTGGGATGGGCTGTATGAGCTTTGATGGGTTTGCATGTATGCATGTGTGTCAGGACAGGTGGATCATACAGCCTCTGCTCTGCCCAGAGGAGAAAACAGCCTCAACCACTGATCGACTGCAATCAATTGATTTATTTGATGCAGGATCTGTTCCCGCAGTGCCGTCACACTCCAACTATTTGGATGTGATACCAAAGTGTTTTGGAAATAGTATCTACTAATTTATTATTACAATTTAAATGTATATTTATTTTTATGTAAACAACTAAATGTATTCACTAAATTTTGTTTTTGGTTTGGTGGAAATTATTTTTATGTATCATATACACAGTTTTTTCCACTGGCAGATGCAGTATGTATTTATTTATTTATTTAAAATGTCACATTGTTCAATTTAAAAAACGATTAAAGTAGTAAGAGACCTAATGAACAATATGATTTATATTTTATTTATTAACTTTACTATTGCACAGTAACCATTTAAAAACAATTCATTATAAGAGACATTATGAGCAATGTAATGTGTATTTATTTATCTACTTGAACAATTTTATAACTTTACAATTACAATTTATATATTTGTTTGTTTGTTTACTTTTTCAGTTGCACATTATCCAATGAAAAAATATATATTATAGTAGGAGACAATATGAACAATATGATTTATTTATTGATTTTAAATACTTAAAAAATGAATTGGATAATTTGCAATTGTAAAGTTAATAAATAAATAATATCCCTCGTAACATCTCCTACACTACTTTAATGAAGTTGTGTTTTTTGTGGTAACTGGATAAAGTAGTACATTATTTATTTATTTTTATGTATTTGTTTAATTTATTTTTTAATATATTTTTAAATCATTTAACAAATATACAGTTGCACATTATCTAATTAAAAAAAAAAACATTTAATAAAAGTAGGAAACGTAATAAACAATATGAGGTTGTTGCAGAGGTCTAACATGGGACTATCATTTCTCAGGATGATCCTAATACCCAGAACAAGCTGGAGGACCCCGTGAAGGCCCCCCCACCGAAAGAGGACGAGTCGCTGAACATCCAGAACTCGCTCACCCCTAAGCATGAGAACCATAAGGTGCTGGGCGAGGAGAACTCTTCGGAGGTAAACTCGCTGCAGAACAACATGATGTAGAACAGAAACAAAAGCACCCCACGCAACCACGTCCACGATCACTTAAAGCATCGAGCAGCAGACACTACGAGCAGCCACACCCACCACACCATCAGCACACGACAGAAAACATTAAAAAAAAACGCCCCTCATACCCACTCAGTCGCCACCTCCTGTCTCGCCTCTTGTTGCAGTCTTTTTGCCCTGTAGTAGACCCGCCCCTGACCCAGCCCTTATATATACACACACACCTACCCCTGCCTAACTGAATTACGGCATGCGTTGGTGTATATTGTAAAAAAAGAAGAAAAAAGTCAAACATATTTGGGGTTTAAAATATAAAACGTTGTCATAAAAGAAAAAGCTACTGAGAGGTTTTGATGTTCGTCTGACTAATTCAGTGAGTATGTATAAATATATGGAAAAAATGCTTGGATTGATATAAAGAAAAAAACACAATGTGTCTTTGTTTTGATGTGATTTCTAATCCTTTGATGTACTTGTTTTATTTTGTACTTTTTTGGGAATATAAACTACGAAGAGAAAAAAATCTGACAGTTGTTGAAATAAACCTTTTTAACACTAAAGCCCTTGTCCCTGTGTGGTCCTAGCCTGCGTTTTTTTTGTCCCTGGCCGGATGCTATCTTGCACTCACTATCTCTTGCTTTGCTTGGTGTTGCACATGGCTTTTTGATACCTGCCCTAAGGTCTGCATCACTTTAGACCTTCACACTGACGGGGTTGTGCAGAAGCTGGTAAGCCTGTCATAAGGTGGGTGACCCCAAATCATGCACATCTGTCTGTTATTTCCCTGACAGGTATGAATTTAAAATCACTTGCATCAGTTTCTGAGGTGACAGGGATCAGCTAAGACTCATATAAGACCGTTTGTATCAGACATGTCTCTCAGCAATGGTCTTCAACCTTTTCCAATTTAGTACTGCATAATAAGCATGGCTTATAATAACCTATGAATCTATTGTCGGGGGAAAACTGCATTAATAGTTTCTTTAGTTGTTTTTGCTACACTCAAGGGTTTGAAATAGGCAACCCTGGGTCATTCTATCCCCGGGTAGCAATCCTGGGTTATCTTGCTACACTTTTCATACTGCTCATGGGGTAAATTCATACTGTACATTCCTAAATCCTGGGTTAATGTTATTTGCATATTTGCAATGTCAGTGTCATTGACTGGACGAACGCAGCACGTGACCTGTTTATATAGCATCCTCATATAAGACCCCATTTAAAAAGTCAAAACCTGAGGTTTGAAAAACAAAAAGCCTGTTGATGAATGGGCCTGTTCCGTAGTCACAGTGAACACATAAAGAACGATATCCCTCATAAGTATCTCTCTGCAGTCGGTGCAGCTATCAAACTGACACTCCAAGATTCCTTTCTCTTATAAATGAATCACAGGTTCTTTATTGTGATTTCCTCTTATGAGTTTTTGACGATGAGGTTTGTTTCAGCCCCAGAGCAAAGACTCCTTCCTAACCACGTTAATAGAGAACAAGTTCAATTGAGACCGCCAGCAAATAGGGAGCAGACGTACCGCTGAGACAATTTTGTCATTTAGCAGTGCAAGTCAGCAATAATTTTTTATTGTAATATTAAATAATAGTATTTTATTTTATTTTTCAGATTTTTTCCAGTCCTGTGTTTTCAGTACCTCAAGGGCCTCTGGTTGGTCTCTTTGTATGAATCTGTATTATAATGAATAATAGGGACCACTTCATCCTCTCATTCACAGAGCGGCATAAGTACCTTTTCAATGCACCACAGATGCCTATGAAATCAGATCCGGGAACATACAGACCTACATAATCACGTCGAGTCTATATGGTTACATTGTCTGTGAAACACAGTATGTGAAACTTGTTCCTACTTCAGTGCTCAAGAGCACTTTGCTTAGTTTTGGCCAAATCTGAGTTAGTGGCAGCTCCACTTATTACAGCCTTTTTCCTAATCTAATTCCTGCTTGCTGCCATGACAACAGCATACACACAAGTATCAAAAACAAGGGAGAGTTCATAACATGTGCTACACACACTAAAAATAAAAATCCTCAGTCTCTGGCACTGTGAAAAAGGACACAGTACTAATGTCCCCAGGCACTCCTGCCTCAAGTTTTGTTGAATCAAAACCAGCTTGATCTCACCACCTCTGTAGAATTATTTTTCTTCTCTCTCGCTCATTTTTCACTGCTTTCTCTCCCACCCCTTCCTTTTTCTGCCGTGTTGATCCTTATGCAATTGCAATTCTGGGGGTGTAATCATCATAGAAACACATTCTGATAGTATGGGTCATTGCTAGATTTAGGAGAGGCTGGTCAATCTCTGCTTTCATTTTCTGTCACTCAGGTGGAACAGTGTACAGCGAAATACAAAGAAGATTCTGCATTTACTTGGAAAAAGCTCTCTTTTATGTACAAAACTCTCATTTACATACAAGTAGCCTCAAACATATTTGGACTCTTAAGCCAAACTGTAATATATACTATAAAATTTTAGTTATTCTAAATAAATCAACTGATTTATTTAAATCAACAATTCAAAATAAAGTATTTTTGAAATCTATTCCATTCTATTCTATTCTATTATGTTTTATTTTATATATGTAATAATGTAATAAAACAGTTGCCTTATTATTATACACATACATAGTTATACATATTTTTACATTATATATTAATTATACAATATTGGATTTTATTGAATTTTGAATGTCAACTGTTTTATTTAGTGTAATTTACATTATATATATATATATATATATATATGTATAATGTACTATTTATTTATAATATATTTATTTAGAATGTATAAATAAATAACAGTTGACTTATCATTCAAAATTAAGGTATTTTATATTAATTAAAATTATAGATATACATATTAATTAAGATTATATATATGTTTAAGAGAAATTACACATAGTTAAGATCTGACAAAAGGTCGGATATCATTTGTTTTCAGATGACATTTGGTTTGTTATATTTAATGCAATGGCATTTATACATTAAAATAACGTCTCCAAGTGATTTTGGGGCCACTAAACAAGATCTAGACTGTACTGTAGAATCAGAAGTGCACTACATCATATACTGTTGTTCCAAAATTTCCTTTCAATTCTCCTTGTTTCTTTACACCCATAAAGCTTGACCTAAATGTGACAGAAAGCAGTTCTCCAGCTGGCACATAATTAACTCAGTATGTTTATTATCAATTAATCTGTTTTACCTTCTGCGCCAAGTGCTGTATGAGAGAGAACATTTCATACTGAGGTGTGGCCACATCCGCCTCCACCAGCATGGGTACATGGATGCAGCATCCCTGCTTCCCCATTGGCTACAGATACGGTGGAACGATGACATACAGATCTCAGACAGAGTTCACCCATTGGCCATTAGAAATACGAGGACACACACACACACAAACGTTCAGCACATTGGTTTAGGAGATTTAGATTGTGTGGGTTCATCAGAACATGCTGAACTAATAAGGAATGCTTAAGATTATTAATGAGGCCTTTGGAATGTGGGCTGAGAAGCCTTTATAATGCAAATGGCCCAAAAGCTAAAATACTCCCACACCCCCCTTTTCCCCAAGTGTGATTTGTCCTGCTGAGTTTGGCACGTCCTTTTGATGTTGAACAGCACGTGAGGTCAGGAAGCAGGTGCAGGAAAGTGAATCTCACGGAAACATGTCACATTTCACCCTAAGATAATGATATTTTATTATAAAATAATAACATTTTTTATCAAATAATATTTTATTTTGCTGTTGCCTTTATTATAATGCATCCAGACAATTGTTTTATTATTTAGTTTTATTAAGACATTTTTGTATTTATTATTATTTATTATGCAGTCATTTTTTTTAAATTTGGTCACGTTAATGCACTATCGTTTTATGTTATTTTATTTTATAAGTTTAATTACATCGAAATCAAGAGTTTGATCCCCAGGGAATGTATGAATTGATAAAAATGTAATCCTTGAATGCAATGTAGTCGCTGTGGGTAAAATGCATGAAAGTATTTTATATTTTTTTTTATTTAGTTCACATATATCTATATCTATACACGATACTGTATCTGCATTTTAAAATTACTGCATTCCATTCCATTGTGAGTGAACGGTAATGAAAATAATTTATGTATACACAATTCAAAATGTCACATAAAATATTGATGGTCATAAAATAGAAATTTCCTAAGCAAAATATAATGTCAAATTTCTATAATTTCTCTGTTTTTTTTTGTTAGTGGTGATGGGGTTTGATATGAAATTAGACGTTTTTGACAGCTTTCATGAGATTCACATTTAAACTGTACACTAATTTGATTGGAGGAAAGATGATCATGTCTTTATTGGACACATTTGAACGCATATATTGTGTGCCAAGTCATAAAATAGAAATGTCCTAAGCAAAATATAATGTCAAATTTCTATAATTTCTCTGTTTTTTTTTGTTAGTGGTGATGGGGTTTGATATGAAATTAGACGTTTTTGACAGCTTTCATGAGATTCACATTTAAACTGTACACTAATTTGATTGGAGGAAAGATGATCATGTCTTTATTGGACACATTTGAACGCATATATTGTGTGCCAATGGAAATGTGCTTTGTGCACCTCTCTTTGCGTGTGTTCTCTTTGCAGAGACGAATGACAATTGACATGGAGCTTCACCTTCCCAAGTACACTAATTTGATTGGAGGAAAGATGATCATGTCTTTATTGGACACATTTGAACGCATATATTGTGTGCCAATGGAAATGTGATTTGTGCACCTCTCTTTGCGTGTGTTCTCTTTGCAGAGACGAATGACAATTGACGTGGAGCTTCACCTTCCCAAAAATGCCAAAGTCCTACCCAAGCCCAACCCGTTAGTCCACTATGACGTGTTCCTCTATAAAGTGGCCAAATCACCAGCGTATGGCAGGGTAAGGCACAGGGTGAGATGGGAGGACTGTAAATATTGTGTCTATGAGTCTCCCTCCTACAGCCCCGCCAGCACACGCTCACTGCCTGCAATCATCCACAGGAGGACCTCGCAAGGACATACCATGCACTCTGAGCAGAGACTATGACCAGCATAAGCAGTCATGCTTTAGTTATCCTCATG